CATCAACAAGGTAAGGCTTGAAATTAGATGAAGGTTTCTAAGCATCAGAGAAGTGAAGTTCTGGAACAGCCTTCCAAGGGGAGCAGTAGAGCCGAAAAAACTAACTGATTCAAAACTGAGCTTGATAAGTTTATGGAGGGGATGGTATGCTGAGACTGCCTATAATGGCACATAGACAATCTGCGACTGCTAGCAGAAAATATCTCCAATGGCTGGTGATGGGACACTAGAAGGGGAGGGTTCTGAGTAACTACAGAGAATTCTTTCCAAGGTGTCTGGCTCAGTGGGTCTAACTGATCGTCATATTTGGGGTTGGAAAGGAATTTCCTCCCGGGTCAGATTGGCACAGACCCTGGGGTTTCTCTCCCTTCCTCCGCAACCTAGGGCATGAGTCACTTACAGGTTTAAACTAGAGTAAGTGGCAGATTCACTGTAACTTGAAGTCTTTAAATCATGATTTGACGACTTCAGTAACTCAGCCAGATGTTAGGGGTCTATTTCAGAAATGGGTGAGTTTCCGTGGCCTGCAATGTGCAGGAGGTCAGACTAGATGATCCTGATGATCTCTTCTGGCCTTAAAGTCTATGAATAGGGTCCTACCAAATTCACAGTCATGAAAAATGCAGCACAGACTGTGAAATCTCCCCCCGTGAAATCTGGTGTTTTGTGTGCTTTTACCGTATTCTATACTTTTACCGTATACTATACAGATTTCACAGGGGAGACCAGCGTTTCTCAAATTGGGGGTCCTAACCCAAAACGGAGTTGCGGGGGGGGCGGGGGGCGTGACAAGGTTAATTTAGGGGGGGTTGTAGCATTGCCACCCTTACTTCTGCACTGTCTTCAGAGCTGGGTGGCTAGAGAGTGACGGCTGGTGGCCGGGCGCTCAGCTCTGAAGGCAGCACCCTGCCAGCAGCAGCACTAGGGTGACCAGACGTCCCGATTTTATTGGGACTGTCCCGATATTTCCTTGTTTGTCCCGCGTCCCGACCGATGTGCGGTCGGGACACTGGACAAACAAGGAAATGCTCCGGAGCCCGGAAGTGCTCGCCCCCTCCCCCGCTCCAACTCCGCCCCCTCCTCCCCCCATTGGCTCCCTCCCCGAATCCCCGCCTCTTCCCCAGGCTCACCATTCCTCTTCCCTCCACAAGCTCTGGAGGGAGGCCCTGGAGACGCAGGGGAAGTGCGGGGCCGGGGTGAGTAAGAGTCTGGCCTGGCCCCAGTGCAGGCAGGACTCAGTCGGGCGGTAGGGAGAGTAGTGGGGGCGGCCCGCGGGGCCAGGTGGCGGCTGTTCTCCCCCCCGGGCAGCGGGACTCGGGAGCAGCCGCTGCTGCAGCTCCCACTGCCGCGGGGGGAGGAAGCGGCCAATGGCCAAGCTCGGCGGCTGCGGCTCTGGTGCTGGGGCCCGAACCCCCCAAGCCTGGGCCTGTTGCGGGGACCCAGCAGCGCACACACTGCGCCCAACCCCTGGCCAGTCGCGTCTGGGCTGCTGCCCAGCTGGTGCTATCCCGCGGCAGCCCCGGGGCGGAGGCATCGGCAGCCCAGCCCCGTTCGTTCCCCTGCGGGACCCGAGTGGGACGGGGGGGCTGGAGCCTGCTGCCCCCACTCCGGGGCCGCCGCGGGATAGCACCAGCTGGGCAGCAGCCCAGACGCGACTGGCCAGGGGCTGGGTGCAGCGTGCGCGCTGCTGGGTCCCCGCAACAGGCCAGGCTCGGAGGGTTCGGGGGCGCCAGAGCCGCACCCGCCGAGCTTGGCCATGGGCCACTTCGTCACCCTAAGCAGCACAGAAGCAAGGATGGCAATACCATACCATGTCATCCTTACTTCTGCATTGCTGCCTTCAGAGCTGGGTAGTCGGAGAGTGACAGCTGCTGACTGGGTGCCCAGCTCTGCAGGCAGCAGCACAGAAGGGTGGCAATACCATACCATGCCATCCTTATTTCTGTACTGTTGCTGGTGGTGGGCTCCCAGCCAGCAGCCACTGCTCTCCAGCTGCCCAGCTCTGAAGGCAGCGCCGCCGCCTGCAGCAGCACAGAAGTAAGGGTAGCAGTACCGCAACCCCGCCCCCCCCCATGGCTGCCCAGAGGATTCAGGGGGCCTGGAGCAAAGCAATTTTGGGAGCCCCTCCTTAAAAAAAAGTTGCAATACTATAGAATACTATATTTTCATTGGGGCCCCTGTGGGGCCTGGGGCAAATTGCCGCACTTGCCCCCCGCTCTGGGCGGCCCTGCACCCCCCCACCACAATAATCTTGTGACCCCTCCCACAACTCCTTTTTGAGTCAGGACCCCTACAATTACAACACCTTGAAATTTCAGATTTACATACCTGAAATCATGAAATTTATGATTTTTTAAAAGCTATGACCGTGAAATTGACCAAAATGGACCGTGAATTTGGTAGGGCCCTATCTATGAGTCAAGGCAGCACTGGTGCTCATCACTGACCAAGAAGGAGAACACGCAGGATAGACACTTGTTAAACTCCAGAACTCTAGGCATGGCCCTTCTCCCAAGGGGGAGAAACAGGAAGGGTCCCAAAGGCAGGGGAAACTAATCTACACTAACTATAAAGAGACTATTTAAAACGCCAGACTAACAACTATCTACAATTATATTTACAGACTGTGCAAAGATATCATCAGACACAGAGGACTCCAACTCTGGCCATGCAGTGGTAAGAAGGAACTGGAGAGGCAGGTCAGTCTCCATTGCCCCTTATAGTCTTGGTATGGAGCACAAGGAGCTCCAGAGCACAGACACAGCTCAACAGGCATTAATGACAAGATTTTCAGATCTCAGGCGCAGGGCCGGTGCAAGGAAGTTTCGCGCCCTAGGCAAAACTTCCACCTTGCGCCCTCCCCCAAGCTCTGCGGCAGCTCCCCGGCCCCCCCCCCCGCCCTGGGGCGCCCCCCCCGTGGCAGCTCCCCCCCCGCGGGGAGCCATGCGACAGCTCCCCACCCCAGCTCACCTCTGCTCCGCCTCCTCCCTGAGCACGTCTCCCCCGCTCTAATTCTCCTCCCCTCACAAGCTTGCAGCGCCAAACAGCTGATTGGCGCTGCAAGCCTGGGAGGCAGGAAAAGTGGAGCAGTGACCACGCGCTCGGGGAGAGGGCGAAGGAATGCTGTAAAAAAAAATTGGGGGCACCGCTTTTTGGTGGCCCGAAATCTTGGCTCCCTAGGCAACCGCCTAGTTTGCCTAAATGGTAGCACTGGCCCTGCTCAGGCGCATGATGCACATCTGAAGTGTGGACTACACATAGGACTCAGCACTCAAAGAAAAACTCCTAGTATAAATGGTCTCAGGCTAGCCAAACACACACTGGTGGATACAATTAGCAAACACATGATTTGCAGAGGATTCTAGTGTTTGGAGTTAATTACTAGAGCTGGAGAGAGAAAGGTTTCCCCAGAGGATTTCATTATTTTAAATGTTGGCTTCACTCTGATTCAGAACAAAACCTCAAAATTTCCAAATTCTCCCCAAAGGGGAATGGAGTCCAGGCTCGGAGGTAGTCAGCCTGGCGGGCTGCCCCTGAGCTGTGGACGCAGGAAGCCCTACGCTGCACAGCTCCAGGGCAGCCCACCATGGGAATCCAGGCTGCCGAGGAGCCATGAGCTTGGCAGTCAGGACTCCAAGGGCTTCCAAGCTCCCGACTCCCTGTGACTCCACCACGGGGGTTGCTGAGGAGCCAGGTGGGTGAGCTGGCAGGAAACTAGGCAGGTTTGGTTCTATCAGAACTTCATTGAAAAGTAACAAGTTTTTGATTTCAATGAATGAACAAAGTCCAATGAAAGAAACTGGAATATTTCAGACCAGCTTTATTAATTACCTTGGCACTAGGCCTGGCCTATAGACAAAGATGCACCAGTTTAAGTAAAGGTGTACTTTTAAACCAGTTTAGTTAAACGAGCACAAAGCCCTGTGTAGACACTCTTCATTTGATTTAAAGCTGGCTTAGTCAGCTCTATTTGATTCCTTGATGATTTAAACTTAAATTGACATAATCCAGTGTATAATCAATTTGAGAGTGTTCACACAGGAGTTTTCACCAGTTTAACTAAGTCAAATCCAGTTTAATTAAAGTGGCACAACTTTTATGCGAAGAACAGCCCTTTTCCACGTAGGGCCTGATCTTGTGAGGAGACCAGTGCTTACGGAGAGATGCTCAGTGTCTGTAACTGGATTCAATGGGATCTGAGGGTACTTGGGATCACTCCAGAGAATTCATCTCTCATTGGATTGGGCCTTTGTATTGTCTTTGGGGCAGAGAATGTGCTCTGCTCTATATTTTATAAAGCATCACATAAGTCTGAGGCTTTGTATAATTCATTGATAATGAAAATGAACAAAACCACTGGTTAATGCATCAGACTATGAATCAGAAGGCTTAAAAGAGATCAGAGGTAAAATTGTGTTGAAAGGCAGCATCCTACTACAGCATCATCTTACCTTGTTTGTACTTGGAGAAGCTGCTTTGCAGAGCTCTCAGCTGCCCTTCCAAAGTACTTACTTGTCTTTTAAGGAGATTGATCTCTGAATGAAGAAAGTTGCATTAATCTTAATGTTAAAAGAAATAAGTAATACAGACAAATAACAGCAGACCTGTAGTTTCTCCTCTAGATGTCTTGGTTATGATCTAAATCTCTATATGTACAGGTTATAGATCTAAACCTGGATTGCCTAGCTTTTTTATGGGATAAGATTACACAGGATGTGTGGATGTGTCTATCCATAACCTGAAGGAAAGATTGCATCATTTCTACTTACTCTTTCTCTTTAAGGACAGGCCTGGACTAAACATCGTTACACTATCCACACATATAGTGCTTGGGGACCAAAGTCTGTAGATATATCACTTTCTGAGGGCTGGTCTACAATACCACAGTAAATGGATCTAACTCATGCAACTTCAGTTACGTGAATAACGTAACTGAAGTCGACGTAGTTAGATTCACTTACCGCGGTGGCTACACAGCATTGTGTCGATGGGAGAGCATCTCCCGTCGACTTCCCTCACGCTTCTCAGGGAGGTGGAGTACACAAATCGATGGGAGAGTACTCTCCCATTGATTTAGCATGTCTTCACCAGACCCACTGAATTGACACTCACTGCATCAATTCTTGCAGCAGTACCGATCTACCGGTAAGTGTAGACATGGCCTGAGTGCCCAGACTGGTCGTCCTGGGCTACATAATGCTAAAAATGCTTTCCCCATTGCTACTATATCACTGAGATGTGTCATTTTACATTCGGTAAACAATTAGGTGGAGTTGGAGGAGGGTGTTTTGAAGTTGTAGATGGTTGTTGGGGGGGGGGCACTTCTAAATGGTACCCTAGGGACGGTTCACAAATTGTTACGAGCTTGGACATGCTGGTTTTAGTTTATCTACATATGAGGTATTATCTAGATCTCAATTTATTTATCTAGATAATATACATACACACATACAAACACTCTGTAACAGACAATCTGCATCCTGGGATAGTGCAATATTTTGATTCTCTCATTACTCTCAGCATGATCTCATTTTAGCAAGCTACCAAAAGTGATATCCAACATCCACCTTGGGTTAATGTCTGTGTTAGAGGGGTAGAAAATAATGGATAGTTAAGCTCTAGTGAAGCGTTTTATCATTTGGTCTAAAGTAAGAAGCTCCTTGCCCCTCCCCCTTCAATCTAGGGATTAAAATAATCTACAGTGAGCTATATCCACAAATATACTGGAGTCCTCATGAAAATTTCAAGGTATTTTTTCCTCGATCAGAAAAGAGCCAGAAAGGAAGCAGTAAAATTTTTAAAATTATTTTTGAAAATATAAATTCATCATACATAGGGAGATTTTGTAATTACTAGAATGGGTTTACTATTCTGTGATTTTTATGATTTGAAATCTTCGCTCCATTATGTAAATAGGAGTTTTGTCATTGACTTCAGTGGGACCAGGATTCTATCCATGAAACAGATGGCTGCTATATAATTTATAAGATACTACTGATTAATCTTATATTTCACAGTGATATTTTGATCTTTATATCTAGGTAATGTCTTGCATTTTGTAGGTGAACCAGTTTTACATAATGTAAATTATGCACATGTAAATTGAATATACATTGGTAGAGAGAGAATCTCTCCTCATACATTTTTTCCCCAGATGGGGCTTACTTGAGCCCACTTGTGGATGTGGGGCAGAAAGTGGTCCAAAATTCATTAGCACACACCAACAGAGAAAACCCTTAAGTCCCTTCCCCAGCAAACAAACAAACCCCATTGCTTTACTTACCTGAGAGTCCACTGTCTCCCTTTGTTCCTTTTTCACCTACTGAACCTTTATCACCTTTTAGCCCAGGAGAACCAATTTGCCCTTTGGGGCCCTGTAAACCTGAGCTTCCTTGTAACCCTGTTGTTAGATCAAGTGAAACAGATACAAAAAGAACAAGTTAATCTGCAGGTAGTTTTCTAATTTCATATATAAAATAATGGGCATTTACACACCGTCTTTCTTCTAAAAATCTCATAATATTTTACCAACAATCAATCAATTTAGCCTTGATGCTGTCTTTGAACTAAGCAAATAAAGTAACTGAGATCCAGAGAGGTCAACCCTATTGGCCAAGGTCACTTAGTGGAACAGTAGCAGGGCTAGGTATAGAACCCAGGTGTCCTGACACGCAGTACACTGCTCTAATAAATGGATAACCGTGCTCTCACATATTTTTATTTATTTGAACACGGGCTGAGATCCAGGGATCCCTGAGTTCTAATAAAAGCTCTAATGCTAATCTTGGACAAATTACAACTTCCACAGGTTGTGCCCCAGTTTCTTCATTTGTAAAATATGGATAATCACACACCTTCAGAATTGATTAATATTTGTAAAGCGCTTTGAAAATGCAAAGCACTATATCACTATTAAGAATTATAATTACAGTAGTGACATATATGCTCTTTGCCGTTTGCTTGATGATACTCTGCCTGAGCAACAATTGCACAGAGAAATGTGAAGAGTGCATCTAATAATGGTAGATGTAACTCCACCATCTAATATCCATTAAATCTAAATGATGAATATCAGATTACTTAGGAATACTAGACTCTCTTATCAAAAATAAAGCAATTTTATTAAGACTTACATAATTCTGACATCATGTAGCGATTGCAGGTAAATACAAATAGAAGTTCTGTTAAGATTTAGCAATTCATGTACTGTGGGGTGATGAAACTAGTTTAGATAAGATATGTCCTTATTTGAACTTAAATTAAGGATTGGTTTACTGTCAGGAAAGTTAGTTTAACTTTCTGGGAATGCTTATTTTTGTACTCCTAACTACACTAAGGGCTTGTCTACACGGGGAAATTGACCAATAAAGCTACAGTGCTATATATCTATTCCACTATTATTATGCCGGCCAATTTCCCTGTGTAGTTAAGCCCTAACTGGCATTGGTTAAACATGGAAACATTGAAATACTGAAATTCTGGTAAAAAAGCAAGCTATTTACTCAGTAGTTTTCAATCGGTTAGAACTAAGAATTCCATGAATTTCATTAGAGAGGCTGTATTTCCAAGAGCTGAATCCTGATTTCTAGGGCAAAGGAGATTTGGTTATGCTTCAGATAAGTGTACAGCCTTTGGCTTTGTATTTAACTAAATGGAATCTTGAACCCTTTCAGCTTGTGTCCGTCATTATCTCCTAAGTCTACGGGACAAGTTCTCGGCCTGTGTAAATGGAGGCAATGGAGCTGTGGAAATTTGCAGCAGAAGAGAAATTGTTAAATTGGAAGCAATCTTTGCAATGCAGAATTCAAGCCTGTCTACATCACTTACCTCTGTCTCCTTTGTCTCCTTTTGCTCCCTTTTCACCTACTGAACCTTTGTCCCCTTTTGGCCCAGGGGAGCCTGCGATTCCTGGCTGGCCCTGCGAACCTGTAGTTCCTGGCAGGCCTAGGGAGTGATGAAGGGAATGAGATGTACAAACCCAGCAATTTTATTCTCAGTGAGTCTCCTGGTGGGAATAATTCTGGGCTTTGCCGGTTACTTGATGATAGACTCTGAGTGAATGCACAGGGAGACTTGAGGAGTGTGTGGATTTTGAAATCTAGCACCATCATGTAACAGATTATAAATATCAGAGGGAAAATTCCTACTGATTTTTGGTGCACAGTCATCAAACTATCCCATCACAGCTAGATGATTCAATTGCGACTTGTATAATTCCCACATCATATAGAAATTAGAGAAAGTTAAAGAAAATTGCACATGTCCAACTGCACAATAACCCACAACTATCTATTTCTGAATACTGTACAGCACCATTAGATTGGAAAGAATCACTGAAGTACACAGTACAGTCTAATGACACCACTTACCTCTCTCCCCTTTTACTCCTTTTTCACCTGGTGAACCTTTATCCCCTTTTGGCCCAGAAGGGCCCGCATTGCCTGGGTTACCCTTCAAACCTGGGACTCCTTGTAATCCTGATGAAACAGGGTGAAAGGGAAATGCATGAAATATTCATTTATATCATAACCCTATTAAAACTACTGTCCCTGCTTGGAAAGATCCATTCTTTTTTTTAATAATGCCTGACTGGTTGCAACTTTGTGTTTGGGCAACAAATTGAGATGAACAGGTTGAGAGTGATGACCAGGAATGTGATAACATACAATCAGTAGTCAATTCAATAATCAAAATTAGATTGCTCTTTTTGGTGCAAAATCCTTGACCCACTCATTTTTTCCAAGGAAAGGGAGTTTTGTTTGAAATTAGAGAATTATGACAAAGTTAAAATCTGTTTTAAAGAGTTCTGTTCATCTGAATTCTGAGTATGCAAAGTCATTCTTATTCATTTTTTAAAATGCTATAAACTAAAAATAGGAAAGTCCTGTTTGGTAGGACCCATATGAAATGTTTGCAGTTAAACAATACAAAACTCATTTGATATCCTCTCTGAAGATGAACACAAAACTAAGACCAGGTTCACTGAAAAGGTCAATAAATTTCACATGTACCTAGATTAGTACTGAATGAACACGCCGTAGCCTCATTTATAATTTTGTCTGAAAATCATGTGAAATTTGCAATTTTGTTACAAAACTGGTTGAAATTGAAAGTAAAATATTTTTGGATGAGAAGGTACAAGGATCAAGGCTAGATAAATGCTTTGTTCAAATTCCTGTGAAGCTAAGCCACTGGTCTTTACACAGTTTTACTATAAGGCCCAAACTAAGCCCTACATCCAAACTTTATGGCATAGGCTCATCTCTACTATCAGGAGATTTTCTCTATCCCCTGGGGCAGTATAGGATTCTTCCAATACTGTATACATACATATATTTGGATATTTAACCTAAATTTACTTTTGTTCAGTTTTTATCCCAATAGTAGTAGTTATAAACCCATAGATCATGGATCTTAGGTACTCGAAGGTCCACCATTAAGATTAATTTAGTTGGAGTAAACATGTTTACTTTCAGTTCTGCTTAATTCCAGTTCTTTTAAGCTTTTTTCAGATGATTAATGGCTAGTGATCACATTAACCTTCCCAATCAAAATCATCATAGCTCTTACCTCTATCTCCAGTATCTCCTTTTGTGCCTTTTTCTCCTGGTGAGCCCTTTCCTCCGACTTGTCCAGCAGGGCCCATCTTTCCTGGGGGACCTTGTGACCCTTTTAATCCCTGTAATCCTAGTGTTGGGTCAAAAGAAAAATAATAGATTTAAAAAAGAAAAAAGTGAGTGAGCTGCAAGAGATTTGCAGATGAATAGAATAAGGTTTGTTAACTTAGGGCCAAATTCTGCTTGTAATTCATCTGCAATTCATCAGGGTGTAAATCAGGTAAGAACCTGCTCCTTGTAATCTATAATAAAATATAAAGTCTGGTGAGTGTCTATGGACATGATTAGATTGCAATTTTAGTATCAGTTCATTAACTGTCCACCTCTTCCAAAGTGTCAAGATGCTTTAATGATTTATTTAAGATTAAAATAACTGTGGTAGCAAATGGAAGACACGTGTTGAAAAGGGTGCTCACCCTGGGGCAAGAGTGAAGATATGTAACAGAAATCAATATTGTGTGAATCAAAGAAGAGAATATTCTCCTGTGGGTTTAATTAATCACTACTCTAGACCTGAGCAAATATTGCTAGGAAGTATTGGTTTAATATTCTTGCACATAACACTCACCAATCCGTGCCCACTTTTATTTATGAATTAATGACATTTGTGTTTTTATTCACAAAAATGGTAGAGGAGAGCAAAACCATTCCAAATACCACCATGAATATATATTTGCAAGAGCATTCACAATGCAAAGGCTCCTGTGACTATTTTGAACAGCTCTTTTAATTATTCACACAATAGATTCGGTAAACAATTCAGAACGTTCAAGGATAATTTGTGGACAAAAAGAGGGGAGGAAGGGTGATTTTTGTTTACAAAACTGAAGTCATTCATGCAGGGATGGAAAAGAAAACCAGGGGACTTACAGGAATAAAGAAGCCATGCAAAATAATACCAAATACTCAGAGACGAGTCTGCAAATAAAACTTCACAAAACTGGTCAGCGAGCAATTGCAAAAAATGAGCGAATGTACAAAAATGATTAGCAGTTTGTAGACAACGTACAAAAAGGAATAAGGACTAAATTGTTCAGATACATTATTCACAATGAATAATATGACAGGTTCTTTTAGGTACCTATTGTAAATTAATTAATTCCCTTTTTATAATTTGTAACCAAATGCAATATTATTGAATGAGAAAGTAATCCTTCAATGTAAACCTCGATATGGGAAACCTTTGTTAGTCCTGTAAGCCAGTTTTTTTTTTCCCTAGCGTCTATTCTGGGATTTATATTAGGAATTAAGTAATCGTGCAAACTACAGAGTAATACCCTACAACGTATCTTGATGGAGCTCTTGCTAAACAAAATTGATTTGAGGTAAGGGGCAGACAAAAAGGAAAGTGTTTTTATTGTAGCGAAGTTATTTTAAATATTCAGTGTAAATAAGACTACTCTGAAAAGAAATACCACAGTCAAATTCTCTGCTTTATTTTACTGTGGGAACACTCACTCACCCAAAAGAGTATTTACCCATGTGAGTGGTCCCACTGAAGTCCAAGGGTTCACTGAAGTGAATCTAGCCCCAATTGAGTGTTTACATTCAGCATGCATATTTTGCCTTGTTTGACCCTCTGTCCTCCTCAAACTTCTGGATATTTTTGGGAAAGAAAATTTAGACAATTTTCACAGTTTTTTTTTTAAACCAACATAGAGCTAGTCTACATAGTTTGATTTTTTTAAAAACTGGGGAAAATTGCATTTTAAAAATCTGTTTCTGAGCCATGTCTAGCAGTAACAACTTTCAATCACTACCAACGGAAGCCAGATATCAAATTGGTGATCCAGAGATTAGAGGTTCTACAGCACTTCATCTACCCCAGAAGCATCCAGTCCTATATAGTAAGAGGTTTCATTTTGAATATGAACAATACTGTCAGCTCTATCCCAGCCTTCAGTAATTACCAGTAGGAACATAAGGACCTTCAGGTTTTACATACCGTATGATTAGCTGCATCTTTTTGTACAAGTTTTGCAGAGCTAGATGGTTTCTAGGAAGCATCTTTTAAATGAGTAATGGTTGAAAAATAATACCAGACAGACGTGTGAATAGTAAGCATAACATTAGGAAGTAAATACTTCTATACCTTGACTTCCCTTTTCTCCTTTAGGGCCTTCTTTCCCATCTCTTCCATCTCTGCCTGGTAATCCGTTCTGAGCAGGTCCACATACAACTACTGCACATGCACTTAGATCCCATTTTTGAACACTCTGGTTTGGATTTGCAGTGGATGTTTTCAACAGGGATGTTCCCAGAGCAAAAGTGATCAGTGCTGGAAGCAGCAGCATTGTTCAGGTGTCTGAGTTATTGAAAAAAAATCAGAGTTACCCTAAGAGCATTTTGACTCCATGTAATCAGTTTATATTTCATAGTGCAAACTGATTAAACAAAGAAATGTTCAATGCCTACATTCTAGCTCATTTATCTTGGTTTGTCATTATTTTACATAAAGCATCAGTGCTCATGGAAAACACTTTAGTAAATTCTGGACAGATCTTAATGAAACTTTTTTTAAAGTTTGTCCTTTGTTAAATTATTCACCATGCAAAACCAGAATGAACTAAACTTAAGTCCCATCGTGCCATCCACTATTTAAGTGTTTGCAAACACTTGGGCCCTGATCCTGTTCCTTATCCCATGTGGATGGGCACCTATGTGGTTCCCCACTGCAGCCAATGGGGCTCCAGGTAGGTGCAGCGGTCCTCCTGTGCAGAATACATCTGCTGGAGCAGGCCATAATTCTTAAGATTTAAGTGAGCTGAGCAACTGTTTTTCTAGAGAGTGAACTGGCTTGAGCCCTGCTTTGGTGCACTGTGCATGCTGGGGAAGTGGGCACACGGGCTGGACAGGATTGCTGTCCTTGTAATTCAGGACACAACTGCAGTCCTGGTCACACAAATGTTGATGTGGGCAGAGGCTGCTTTGGAGGATTTAGGAAAGGGTCAGAGTCATGACTCTTTCCCCCACACCAGCCAGCAGAAAGGGTCCTAAGGAGCACAAGCTGCACCCTGTTCAAAGGTAGCTCAGTGACTATAGTTCCCTTGTGGTCTTGCATCAATTGTGCCTGCTGAAACATAATGGCCCCAAGAATCTCCTGCTGAGCCACTACCCTTTAAACAGGCTGGGCCAAAAAGTGACAATTGGGCCCTTAAGATCCGGGGATTGATGGTTAACGTAGTGGATTTCTCCCTTTTTGCTAAATACCCAGTTACAGAAAAATATCAGAAGAGATCAAAGGTTTGATTTGTTCAGAAAGGCACTGCACTAAAAGCCAGCTGATAAACTCGGTGTATTTTAGTAATTGGCAGACAAGAAATTAACAAACATACCAGAATTTGCTTCTACTGTACATACATTTCACACAAGCATGAAAAGGGTTAACTAAGCACTGACAAGTTTCTCTGAAACGGTAAAAATCAGACCTAGAAGTACACCATCTGTTAATAAGCAAGAGATGCAGATTCATTTAATACAATGCCACCTGCTATATTAAATTTCAACCTCATATATGGTAGAAGTATTCAGACAGTCACATAATATTCCATAAATAATATTTTAAAATAAACTCAAAATATAAAGTTTGCTACATGCTGAATGCAACTTAATCATTAAAGGACAGAATTAAAAGTAACAGCATTGATGATATCCAGTCACTTACTCTGTAATTTCTGGTACTCTACAGAAGCATTACAGGAATGCTATAATAAGAGTTGAACTTTCCATTTATATGATATGCACTGAGTAACATGACATCCCATTTCTCATCCATATTACATTCCAGTAAACAGGAGTTTTAGTTTTGCTAAGGAACATTTCAACATTCTAGTTTATCTTGAAACGTTGGTGATAGTGAAGGCCAGGTACAAGAAAGGGATTTCCCACAAATGCAAAACAAAGGGAAGTTGGAACAGATCTGGCCTAAGAGACTGCAGGACATGATCCAAGCCCATACACTAATCTCACCTCTTGAATATTTGGCAATCTTGGAAAAAGTGTGTGCAGTTTATAGCTCACAGTTTAAGCCTGTGCAAACTGTACATGCCGGGCATGATCAAAAGGCCAAGGAAATTGACAGGCTGTGGATCAGGGTCATACAGGGGATAACCTGGATCTCACTAAATTTAGCAGTGTGACAGGGGGCCTCTACTCACTGCAGGATGGCACCACCTCCTGACTGTTCTGGGGATTAGCTCTGCGCAGCCAATGCCCCTTCCATCTCTTTCTGCTGTGTGGCCCCCCTCTTGCTCCAGGAACTGCAGCGTCCTCTTCATGACT